TAGAAATGTTATAATAATAATAATAATAATAAACCCTGTGGTATGAAGGCAGTAACCTTGGGCACGATCCCATCCATCCCTTGAGCTAGTAGGACTCATTCCTAGAGTAATAGGAAGCTGGAGAATCCAAGAATGAGTAGGCAGGTCAACAGATCTTACAAAAGAAACTCCAGTGACCTGTTTCTGCTTCTTTCAAGGGTTCCTTTCTGAAGTGCTTTGAACCTGGTTTTTTGTTCTGAGCAGATCCTCTTTGTGAATACTGGGAAGGAGTGCAACATCACTCCTTCCCAGTATTTAAAGTTGCCAAATAATTTCAGAATGAACCAGAGAATTGTTTAGTCACAGCCACTCTAACTTATAGTTAGAGGCCAGCCCTCCCACAATCCCTGACCATTTGAAACAGAAAGAAGTTGACATCTTAAATATCCAAAGGGCACCAGGATGAGAAAGGCTGTCCTACACACTGAGGAAAGCTTTAAATTAGTTGAACTGAGGGTGTTCAGTAGTGTAAATGCAGATACAGATCATTTACTATGGATCAGATGCAACACTGATGGGCACAGAAAAGTATGTCCTTGATTATTTGTTACTTCTCATTCTTTTAAGAGAGGCTTGTATTAACAGCTTGACATTTTTTCTACAATGCTATTATAGTTACCTTCTGTTTGCTTCTCTCTCTGCTCTTGCCTATATTTTTCGATCATCTGATAGACTGAAAGCCAGTGTTTCATCGATTTTTCTGCATGATGCTTCATTGTGTTGTCCAAACTGACAGACCAACAACTGACAATGCAAGGAAAAAAAACATGCTAAGTTTACTGCTTCGGTTCATCCCATGATAACAATCCCCTGCAAATACCCAGGACAAAGCAAGCGGCACGTTCTTACTTCAACTCTAGTTTACGCCACTGAATGATCAACTGAGTGATCAAATCAAGGTGCTTCCTCAGAGATACGACTCGACTGGCATTCTCCTCCCAATCCTAGAAAATAATGGTATGCCTTTCAAACAAGCACAAATTACACAACAATTCGCATCACAGCAAATGCTGAAAGACCTCTTCATGGCTGGTAGCTATCCTTGAAATCTCAAGCACCATCATCTTTGTGCTACACATATTTTTTTAAGAGAAGAAAAAATAATTTATTAGTAAAGTTTTGACAGTCCCTAAGTTACAAGATACAGGCAAATTACAAAAGTTGGTTAAGGTAGGTCTGTAACACACACCCCTCTCTTCCACACACACACACTTCTGACCTGAGATTTGGCCAACAAAATTTCCAAGCCATTCAGGAACTTCGAAAGAGGACTGGACAGTGGAAAGCTACAGATCCTGTTCATCACAACCAAGAGCTGCAAAATAAAAAGATAATCAAGTTTCTGGCTGTCACTTGACAAAGCTCAGAACTAACTGACACCACAAAGGGAGATACCTTTCTAGAAGGGAAAGGGCTTTGCAGTGAAATCTTCCTACAGTAGCTCTTATCTGTAGGACTAATTTTTCAATTGATACATATGCCAGAGATAACACGAAATTAGTAGTATGTTTAGTTGTAGGGGAGGTATTAGCTGGGGCAAATCTTGTTATAGGGACCATATGACTGGTTAAAGTCACCTTCAACATGTTGTTTATTACTGCGCATTCAATGTGCCTGACTGATGCACACAGGCAAGTCGCATTTTAAATCTCTAAAAACCTGAGTTGCAGGTTCTTACCTGGACAAGTGCAGGGTGTTCAGGCCACTCTTGCAGTAGTGTTTTTACTTCTTTAGTAAAGTTTTTAAGCACGTGTTGGCACTGCCGTACTTGCTGAATATTAGGATGGTGATAAAAATCATATGGCCCTTCATTCTGTATGGTAAGCTCTGAAGACCCTTCTTCAAAAAGCGTATTCTGCAGTACTGTGCTAGCTAAAAGCTGACTGCCATGAATATTATCATTCATTTCGGAACCTAAGTTTAGGGAAGACAGAGGAAAAGAAGATAGGTGAAAAACAAGTTCTGAGGCAGAAAAATGCATCCAAGGGGTTTTGGACAGATCATCCTCATATGGAGTGAAAAGCTCACCCAAAAGGCAAATGTACTGCCAACAGAAGCACACCTCAGAAGTGAGCCATCTGTCAGGCATGTGACATAAAATGAGAACAGATCAAGAATTTGTCCCCTATATGTGCAGGCCACAAAAACTTTGGTTCTGGTGCATGCAGTTCACTTGGATCTAAGCTATTATCCTTTTATTTTGTTTTGATTTGTTGTATTTTGTTGTTTAAACCCTATCTTTTAGGCAAACCCTTTGCAGGCAGTATGCAGAAAAAATTTAAACCACATAATAAAAACTTAAGAATGGTGATTGATATGGAAAGCCACAGAACTCAATATATAAAAGGATTACAGGCCAAAGTAAAGAGCCCACTTTAGGCTCTTTACTTAATGATGGGAACCTGGTGGGCATCACTTGGGGCTGACATCCAACCAATATTCACCAGGGTCACTACCAAGAGGGTTTCCCCCTCATGCCTGCCAGCTTACTTGCTCTTTTAATTCCTAGTCTAATTGCACAAGCAGAGCCTCCAAAGCTGATCTCAGAATGATCCTATCCCTATCCTACAGAATACAGGGTTAACCTAGTAACCCTTACTGCATACACTATTTATGTAGCAGTCCAAAAAAATCAGAAAAGCATTTTTTGGCAACTGAACAATTTCCCTCTTCAGTGCTAACAAAGCTCAATTAGGTAAGACGTCTTTGTTTTGCTTGATTGTGCTTTTAGCATTATCTAGACTTTTGTTCACAGAGAACAAAAATAAATACTTGTGCTACTTTCTTCACTGGTGCATATTATCTAGTTGGCAGGAGAAGAGCAATTGTTTCTATCCCAGGTAGTGGGAGGAGAAAACACATGACAGGGGTTACCTTGCACTGGGTAGAAAGAGAGCACTCACTTAGTTAAACTAACTCTACAAGGCTCAATTTACAACAAAGAAGCACAGCAGTAAATAAGTAAACTATGCCAAGTACACTGGATGGTTAAAAAGAAGCACAAGCAAAGAAGGTCTTCTGAAAGGTAGCCAAAGCTATATATTAAAACAATCACCAATTGTAGAGCTAAGAGTTGTTGAAAGTACAGCAATGATTTTCAAACTATGGTCCCTTTGAAGTATATCTGGCATAAGAACAGTAACAGAAGTTATCCAAAGAACAGTTTGTCCTTTTTGTTTGATCTCCTCTTTCAATGTGAAGAAAATACAGCTGAATTATGTTCTCTCTGTTTGTAAGGCCCCCACCACACATGGCACCTGGATTGCACAATCTTCCACACACACTGGGAGTAGGCAAATCAAAATGCTCCTCAAAGACAGATAAATGCAATCCACTGCGTGAAGCAAATCCAAAGATACAAAAGGAAATCCTTACCGATCAAAGGATAGAAGTGATTCACCAGTGAAGCACCAGTCTGATAACAAGAGAGAAATGCACTCAAATGATGCTTAGCCTGATTGCTGGGCAAGTTTTGCTGATACCACAACGATCGTGCGAAGTAAAGGCATAGCTGCTGATGAACTTTAATCACTGTTTTCATTGAGTGATGAGAAAGAAGAGTATTTTCAGGGACCACTTCATCTTTTAAACTGTCTTCCATTTCCATTTTCCCCTCAAGGCTCTCCTGAGCTGTAATGTCTTCAAAATCCTGTAAAGCATATTTAAAGCTGTTTAACAGTAACTTATGACACTGAATTTAAGATGAGATATGAAGTTCACAGATTTCAAAGGACATTCCTAGAAGGAGCAAGAGTGTCAGATACAACCATATGGCTGCTGACTGTGGTTAAGCGCCATACATAGAGCCTATTTGCAACAACAGCCCCTGGGTTAAACAAACCATGGACTGTCAAGGATAAGTGGGAGGGAGTCAGTGCATTTTCCACTTGTATTCAACAACTCATCATCAGCTTCTTTGCAGGTTGTTGATGTCTAAGCCCACACCAATAGTCCTTTTAGAGCTAAACCACCCATTAGTCTGGCTTTGAACACGCAGCCTGCTTCACTGAACCTCTAAGACAGCCTTTCCCAACCTTGTGCCTTCCATACACATTTGGACTGCAACACCCAGAATTCCCAGTCAATGGCCCTGCAGGATGGGAATTGTGGTCCAGATGCCTCTGAAGGCCAGCAGTTTGGGGAAGACTGCTCTAAGAACTTGGAGGACTACATTTGTGTTCAATGAATCACAAGGCTGCACGTTAAAGTGGTCAACCTGGCCCTGAAGCAAGATGTCAGTGGGACACCACCAGGCAATTATAAAATTCACCATGGTATCAGGAGTGGTGGTGGTATTATCAGCTATCTATTCCATTAGGAAGCTTCATCATGTTGTCAATAAAGACAAGACCTCAGCTTCTTCAAGTGCCAAACAAAACAAAAGAGCTATGCTAAGTGGAGAGAAGATGACAGTAACAAAAAAATCATCTCAGACGGACAGCATTATATGGTCAACATCAACAATGACAAAAGAGTTCAGCCTGGCTAACACTTTGTTAATCAAAAATTTTCCTAGAGTTTCATTAATGTAATGCAGAACTGAATTTTTCATTTGCTCTAATTTATCATTTTTACAGTAATTGTATATGTATTTACATACTAAATACATTTAACCTCTTTCCAATCATCTCAGATTTGTTTTTCCATCTCCTTTTCTTCTAACAATGTTTACCAAAATCAACAGGGGAAAAACTTGTAGCATAACAACAGAAAGCAAGCCAAACTCAATTCTGTTGCCAAAGGCTAATCTAATATAAGGCTAAAATTCCATTGAAAATAGGGCGATTTTGAAAAAGTTTTCCTTGAGTAGCTTTTTCTGCACAACTCATCCCTTCTGCCCATTCTAAACACATTCCAAACATCAAAATATTGCCAGGACACCTCATTTTTCTAACTCTAACCCTACCCTGGTGCACATCCCTAACCCTAATACAGGGCTAAAGTTCCATTGAAAAGAGGGTGATTTTGAAAAAGCCTTCCTTGAGTAGCTAATCTAACTAGTTGTTTTGTGATGAATTTTCTGACATGTTCTCCTTTATTCCTCTATGTACTGCTCAGCTTTGTTTATAAAAAATGTGCAAATTGCTTTTTCTATTTTTATTCTGCGGGTGCTCATCAGCACTTTACCCACATTCTCCTTTCAGAGAAGAAGTGAGTCAACAACTTCTTGAAGACAGATTAGAAATATGAACCTAGACTCCAAACACACATCCCTTGCACACACAGGCTCTAATCAGCTTCCCAGTGGTCAAGCAATTCATACCTGTATTTTCTGCAAATCTGTAAAGCAATTCCCCCACCAACCATCTTCTCTCAGACAGCCCCCTGTACCCACGAAGTTCATTTAAAGGTGGGGTTGTCTACCTTCTCGTGAAGAGGAAATTTCTTCCTGAACTCTCTCTCCTCCTCCTCTGCTTCAGTGAGTCCACTTCCATGACTCTTTCTCTTGTATCTATAAAGACTGTTCTTTTGTTCCTCTTCTTCCTGGGCCTGGCGTTCCTGCTCATCCCATTCATTTATAATTACCTGAGAAGTAAAAACAGATGCTCAATCTGAGAAACTCCAACAGACTCATGCATATGAATTCCACATGTCTTGTGTTTGATACACAGTGAACATAAGCCTATTAGTCAGTCACCTGTGCCATGTTTGTGGCAGAAACTCTTACAGGTTAAAGTGGTACTTTTACAGTGATTGCTCTGCTGTATCTTCTCCAAGACATGACTTAAAGGCTTATTTTAAATTGGATTTTGGTTGATGTGTTATGTTTCTGTTTCATTTGGATTATAGAAATTTCTGGATGTCATTTATTTTAACAGCATTTTTAAAGAAAAATCCACTGCAAACTGTTCAGTCAGAAAAACCATTACTAAGTTAATGCATATGATGAAACATGGAAGCAACAGTTCTTAAATTGTCCCTTTTCATTTGCCAAATGTATTTAAGTTACATTGAAATTAACTTCCCAAAGAAAATTTCCCTGAGTTATAGGAAAATGGAAGATGAAAATTGCCTTCCAGGATTCCAACATTCCAACTATACTGGATGAATACAATCAATTTAAAGTCAGAACACCGTACCTGACACAGATGTCTAAAAAGCTGCAGAGATTTATGATCCAGTTCTCCCTTGGACACTGCATGGCAATGGAGATACAGTAAAGCATTCACTAACAGTTGCTCCTGGGTAAGACAAATTCCCTGGTCTCCATCAGAGTCTTCAGCAGAGTATTTCAGAGTGAACCGCTTAAGGCCATGAAGGACATCAAGGGCGTTCACAGAGCACAAAGCATCTGCACGGGAAAGGTAACTGGGAAAGGTGCTGCTAATGGACGGGAACGACAGCAGAGAAGCAACAAGGGCACTGAGTTTGGCCGGACTGACAAAACTGCTGGATGCTACTCTATGGACTTCAGAAGCGACAAGTCGTAGTCCATGCTGCACCTGCAAAATGGCAGCTTGCAGAGGAATAACTGCATCAGGAAAGGCCGCATAGTCTTCTGCCAAACGTTTTCTGAACTGATGGTGTGACTGCTGCCATGCTGATTCCTCATTAAGAACATTTTGTACCACCTGGACAGACGGGGACTTATCTGCAGGCAGGAATTGCAGAAGGCGTGTCACAAGATCCTGGACTTTTGACGTCTGTGCAATGTTGCTGACATACTGATGAACTTCCTGATATAAGACCTCATATGAAGGAACTTGCGGTCTAAAGGCTTGCTTTTGGCCAAGACTGAAAATCTGATCCTTCAGCTTCTGGATCCTTTGGTATAATAACCTGAGAATGGGTAAGTTGTATCACTTTAAAAGGTCAAGTCATCAATTATGGATTAAAAGTGCCACTGAAAACACCCCGAAAGCAAATACTTTATTTAACTGACATACGGAAAGGTGATTGGACAAATTCACAGAGGAGAAGATTATATGCTACTTCCATAGGCTTATGCATACCACTTGCTGGAGAACTCAGGTGAGAGGGTGCTGTTGCAGTCATAATCTGATTGTGGGATCCTGTGGGCAGTTGGTTGGCCAGTGAGTCAACAGTATGTTGGACTGGATGGCTCTTCTTATGTTCTTAAGTATCACCTATTTCTCTACTTCACTATTTTCAATTTTTTGGTATTAAAAATACCAGCAAGACCTTAAAGTTTTCTAGGAAGACAGCAAATACTTCCTTTGATTCAATGGTCTTTTCCACAAGGCCCAAGGACCTCTGGAAGTTTCCAATCACCTTCCCTGCCCCTGGCAGTAGTTGATCACTCTCAACATAAACTTCCCTAGCACTCCCTTGCTGTATGCTTTAGGCCATCTGGGCTCCTGGAGGAAACTTTAGGGGCAGAGAGCCTGATGTTTTTCAGGTGTAAGGTGCCTGGGGTGAAGAAGAAAGAGAACACGGGGCAATCTGCCAATCAGATGTGGAGATGAAGACCAGAAAGGGCAAGCAGCAATGTGATTGGTGGTGTACTATGCAGGCATGGTATGAGAAACATAATGGGTAGGTGAGTGAGTGTAGAGCTACACTGGGAAATTATGCAGCACTGAAAGGAGCAGAGCACTGAGTAGTCAGAAAAGGCTTCATCCTGGTCCAAGGACCAAGTAAGCCTATTGAAATTTGCCTGCTGCGAGAGAGCAGAAAAGAGCTCTTCCCACCCAAGCCCAGAAAATGTCCTCAAGGGGTCTCAACAGTGATGAGTGGAGCCAAAGTTCCTCCTACTTAAAAAAACAGTAATTATTTTGATCCAATTCATGAACGGGATAGGACCTTATCAGAGCAACATACCTGTTCTCACACAAACACTCTCCCCCTCCATATTCTTTCATCACGCAGATGGCAAGCTGAGAACAACAAAACCACAAGAACCCACATGGTCCCATGGCCCCCAGGACTACTCTGGCCATTAACAGCCAGCCTTTTGGACCAGGAAACCAGAAAGCAAACATTTAAAGCTTCCTAACAGGTTTCATCAATATGTACTGAATCTTCAAGTTACCTGATATGAGGGTGACTGTGGCTGTTGACAGTTTCATCTTCAAGGTCTTTCCCTGTGTGTAACTGAGTTGATAGATCACGTGTTTTCCACTCACACTCCAGATGGTGCAACTGAAAGCATGGGACAAAATGTGCAGGTTTGGTTCAGATTAATATTCTACCATCAATGCAATGGAAAAGCACACTGGTTTGGTGTACCAAGAATATAAAGGCTGTTTCAAATCTTCAAGAATTCAGTCATGACATACAAGTGGAACTTCTTGGTCTAGAAACACTGCATTTCTAATACCAGAGAATGCAGATAAACAAGGGAAAGCTGATACTTTTATCTTATCCTTTAAGCACCTCAGAAACATTTGGCTGGCCACTCTTGCAAGTAAAATCCTGAGCTGAAGGGACTCCTGCTCTCTTGAGAGGAATTGCCCAAGTTTCCAAGCTGATCTATTCTTAAATAATTTATATGAATATTTGCATATATCTTAATTCCTTTGATAGGGTTTTACTTGATGTATAAGCTCATCTTCTGTTCTAGAAAACGAGTAAGGTCTTGTTCCCTTGCTAAATGCCATCTGCAGTTTATTTTTCATACTGACTATTGTGGGGTTTTTTCTGTCTGTAGAACGACAAACATCTAACACTGCCTTACCACATGTTTGTTCACACAATCCGTTGCTACAGTTTAGCAGTTATTTCACACTTTAAAATGACAGTGACATTTACAAATCATGTAATTATAAGGCAAGGAAACATACGTTCACTCCATGTGCTCACCTCTTCTTCTGCATATTTGCGTTTGTAGTCCCTTTTCACCGCAGGATCAAACTGAGTCTGTGGAAGCCACAAGTGAATTTGCAGCAGCCCTAGATTGACCCAGAGGCTTCCTCTGCGAGCTGCTTCAGGCAGGTTCTGGCTTCCACCTTCCTGCCCAAAGAACTGCTGCAAGCAAGCCAGCCAGAGACAGAGAATCTGCTCAGGCAACAGGTCCCGAGCAGCAACATCCTTGAGCACTTTGCACAGGTACTGAAAAGCCAATGGATCCTTGGAGAAAACCCTGTCACACTTTCGCAGATACTCCTCTTCTAGTTCTACTGGAAGCAGGTCCTTGAGAGCCACAAGTTGCCTATGCAACATGACACACTGCAACCGGGGATCTGTAAACCTTAAAGAAGAAAACCAGAAAAATCTCTACTAAGTGTGGAGTTGGGATCAGCAACTGGAGGGAATCCAGAATAAACATGGATCCCTGAGGAAGATCACCTGGTCCCCTGCCACAAACACAGAGGCAAGAAGGGGGTGTGGAAGGAACTGTGGCTACACTGAGGCTGCACTGGACAAGCATGCCGCTCTTCATCTCATCTGAAAAAGTGCTTCTCCTTTAAGACTAGTCATTGATCAGGGGGTAAGCCATTCACACATTTTTCCAGGGTTTCCTGAGCTGTCTGTCAGGGTACATACCTAAATTCAGCAATTGCAGAGAAGGCCAGGTTGGTCCACAGAATTGTGCTGGCTTCCTGGAGCTGCTGTGCTCTCTCCAGGCACCCTCCCAGGGTCACATTGGAGGCAGAAAGAAGAGGAAGGCCTGTCACATCCCACTGGCTCCACTTGTTGCTGCTAGTTAGAATTTCAGAGAGGCACTTGGAGAAAACTGCTCGACTCAAAATACCCACACCCTAAATTAATAAAGATTAAAATGTACATTTCAAGCACTGATAAGCATTATCAAAATTTAACATTAAACATTCTAAGTAAGTCGCAAACCTTGTGGTTTATTTATTTTTATTTATTTTATTTTTTTGATTTATATCCTGCCTTTTTCCTACAAAGGGCTCAAGGCAGCTTACATTATCTCTCCTCCTCCATCTTATCCCCACAACAACAACCCTGTGAGGTAGGTTGGACTGAGAGACTGTGACTGGCCCAAAGTCACCCAGTTGGCTCCATGGCCGAGCGGGGACTCGAACCCAGATCCTCTGAGTCCCAGTCCCATGCTCTTAACCACACTGGTTTACTGCTGGCCACCATAGGATAATATGAAGTCAATTATCACATTGATAGGTGCACCATTAATTATTATACAGTATGTTCTGTTAAACACAGTTGAATTTTGAGACAGGGAATGAAAGAAGGGGGCAGAGTTAACGAAGAAACCAGGGGCAACACCAATCTAGTTATTTATTAGATTATATCCCACTATTTCATTTTTTTAAGGAACTCGAAGCAGCTTACATCATTCTCCTCCTCCTGTTCTCTTATCCCCACAACAATCCTGTGACGTAGGTTGGGCTAAGAGTCTGTAACTGGGGCAAAGACACACAGTTGGCTCCATGGCTGAGCGGGGGCTAGAACTCAGTTACGCTGAGTCCCAGTCTTGTGCTCTTAACCACTATACCACACTTTTTGGGTAGCCTCAAGAAACATTTTCAAGCATCTCTCAAAGCTGTTAAAAGTAGAAAAGCAAAAGCTGAGTTGCATTTTTCCGGGTGCTAAATTTAACACTAGATACATTCTTCAGTGGCACCAAAGAATCACCCGGGCTGTAGCTTGCCACAAACAACAAGGAACTGCAGATTGCAAGAGTAATTAAAATGAAGAAATCCTTCTGATGAATGTGCAGTTCAATGGTACTTTAATTAAAATAATCTAGGAAAACAAATGAGATGGATAAGAGCACTGGGTTCAATCTATATCTTCATATGGCATTTGTTGTATACATAAGAAAGCACTATTCCTTGGATTCCACCCTAATAGCTAATGCAAACTCCATAAAAGACAGTGAGGACTTGTACATTGGCATTTACTAATAAGTAAACCCATTCTCCAAAAATGGAAGCTTTTATCACCAAAGTGTGATATCCTTGCATGAGAGGAAAGTATTGACAGGTTTGTGGGGTGGGGAAGGTGGAGGGGAATCCCAGACTAAGAATATTCAGTGGAAATTCTGTGATGATGATTGAAAGGAATGGGGGAAAATGATAGAGGGAAGGAGAAGAGAACGGCAAACAACAAGAGCAACCAAACCAAGGCTTGTGAGCCGCATGCTGGATTTTCAACAATTCACAGCCAAGAGGAAGACACACAAGACCTCTATTAGCAGTAACTAGACTGCTAATTGTAGCAATGTGTGTTTGGTCTGAATGAATGAATGAATGAATATATTGTTCCTGTCTTGCAGGTGACATTAATTGTATATGGTTCTTCTGTTGAGCAAGTCTGGCCACCCCAGCATACAGCATTGTTGGCTGGCACCCTGAACAGGTGAACACCATACTGTAATATTGGTTGCAGATCTCAAATGTGTATAAAAGTAGTTCAATTTATCATGTTCTAAAATTCCCATCCTGATGAGAGCATAAATCAGCCATTAAAAACAAAACACATTTCCATACATGGCCTTGAAAGACGTAAGACTTGCCACACAAACCTGAGCAGAACCATCCATGAGAGACTTCGGCATCTTTTTTCCTTCCACAGATAGTGGCTGCCAGGATAGCCAGCGCTGTGGGTCTAAAGTTACTGTGCTGCTCCAGAATGCTGCTAAAGCAGCACTCACTAAATCTGACCACAACAGAGAAATTTCTTCTGCAGAGACCTAAAGTGTAAGCAAAACAAAAGTTCAGAAGACTCAAGGAATCCTAACATTATTTGCAGTGTGCCAATAAATTAACTGAACTGCTACATTTTAGGGACTAATTAGGTCAAATCTGGACTGGATGCATTTCCCATCCCAAATACCCAAAATAATAATAATTAAAAAAAATTAACCTCAAAGAAAAAAAATCTTGGACAGAACCGCCTTAACCCTCCCTTAAAAAGGTTTAACCCACTTCATATATGATCACTCCAGCATTTTCTGAACAAGCAGTTAATGGGTGATATTTGCCAGAGGAAGGAATTAAGAGGAGAGATTTTGTGAGAAAGTTGGAAGTTGGATTGGTTCCTTACTCCAGGATACATGTTTTTTCACTCACCAGAACACATTTAGTGCTTGCTAAAGGAAAACAGTTTGTCTAGCATAAATAGGGAAGATCAAATTATTATTTTTGTGTTTGAATACCTTAAGCTTGTTTAAAAATGGGGGGAGAGAGAAGGAGTTTCTTGAACTTAAATGTATTTTTACCTTCTGAAGTTCCAACAGGTAACTAAGTCCTTGAAGCTGTTGAGAGGTAACTGGTGTCAACTTCAGGCAAAATGTAATAAATTGCTTTATTTCTGAACGCATTCTTAATTGCCAATTGTTGTCATTCCTACAAGACAAAAAAGAAGTGGGAAAAAGACTGAAAACCTACACATTTCCCTTTCGTTAGAAATTTAAGGAGATTCTCACATTCAGAATGGCCCAAGTCCAGGCAGAAACTTCCATAAGCTCTTCTAATCCTTTTAGACAGAATTTCTGACATTGAAATTTGGACATTTTATACCTCACGGTCACCTGCATATATGCTAGCAGAACTCAGGCTTCAAAGCAGCTATATTCAGGTGTTCTAAAAACTTTTGTTTATTATCTGATTGGGCAGAGGGGGCTATGCTGCATAATTCCACTTCTTGATATCACACACATGATGCAGCCTGACCCCCACCACTGTTTCACAGACAGGGTGCAAACATCTGCAGAATGGAGGTCCAACAGCATCAGACTCCACTTTACAGCACAGGTTATAGCTCTGGCTCAGGTATACAGATGTATACGCACAGGCCTTCCTTCGGCAGAAGTTCATGTGTGTGGCACAAACACCAGAGGACGGCTGTGTAGTGTGGCCCCCGCATGCACAGTAGAGAGATTTTCAGAGTGCTCAAATAGGCCTGACACTTGAGATCATTTGCCTATAAATTACACGTTTGTGAATTTGACATGAAGCTGTTTGTCCCTGCCATGGCTGCCCATGCGTTAAAAAATGACTGGCATGTTTGTAGGAAGGAAAGAACTGACATGTAACTTTACCTGACAGGATTCCTGTCATTTTTGGATGGTAGGACCCTAACACCCGATATCAAACCATTCACATATTCCGAAAAAAAGAAGAGAACACTGGACAATTTGGATAGTTAAAGGCTTAGTCCACTTAAGAGGACAATATCACAGGCAGATGAATAGAATGTGGAAAGATAAAACTGGAAAAAAATCAAGAAAAGGAATGCTAAAGAAGGCACAGCCCTCAGGTGAGGAAAATGATGCCAACAGCTGGTTTCTGATGTTCCCACATTAATAAACCTATTCAGGCTTGTTAAGTAGGAACAGTGGCTTAAAGGATCCTGTGGCTTTGGACTTTTCTAAAATCATGGCCATATTGTTTGAAGACAACTGACTGACAAAGCAAGGATGGTTAATCTTTGACATTCCTACTGAAATATTCATAGCCAGCACCACAATCAGAAAGCCAACTCCTAAACCAAGCCAGGGCCATCTACTATCCTGGGCTGGAGAAACAATAGCTAGCTATCTAGTTGTCTGAAGCTTTATAGTGATGTATGTATGATAGCTTTAAATATGACTGCTATGTGATTTACATTGAGTTTAATCTGTGAACATTTGGGGGAAACTTGGAAAAAAAATAACGGCCAATGAAATCTGAGATTCCCATTTAACCACTACTATGGAAACAAGCATTCACATAAATGGCGTTGCTTTCATCATCTGGTAAACATGTCAAAATGTTAACATCTTTTTTCATCCGGTGAAACAAAACAAAGTTGCACGGGGTGAGATCGGGTGAATAGGGAGGGTGAGGCACAAGGGTCACACTGTTTCTGGTCAAAAACTGCTGAACACCCAACTGAACAAAATTTCACTGCCACACATTGCTCATGTAAATCAGCCCTCACTAAATAGGCAAATGCATTGAAAGAGTCCAAAACAACCTATCCCTGAAGCCGAATGCAGCCTCTCACAACAATGCAGCTGGGTACACTGATGCAGAGGGGTTCCTAGAACATTCACCTAGCAGGGGAAGCCTGCACTACAAGGGGTCCACCCTCCAGAAGATAATTCCTGGTTTTTTCAGTTCCACCCCCCTCGTATGTCACCTTTGGTACTTTATAGGAAAAGGTGGGATATAAACATAACAAATAAAGAAGGGATCGTGAGACCCCATGCTCATACTATCATTCAGAAAGTTAAACCAGTGGCAAGGGCAAATTTTGGTTTCCTTACTCAATACTATCTCTCACCTTTTCGAGTAAGCCTCAGCAATACAATCGGAGGTCAGCTTGTACTGCCATAATAGAGCGAGATATTCCAATGCAGGCCACAGTTGCACCCTATTACAGATCTGAGGTGACAATGTACAGTCTACCTCAGCAGGTTTTTCTTTAAGAGGCTCAATCAATACACCACCTTCCTTCAGCTTTGACTGTTGGAGATGTATCAACGTCCGCAGTTCATCTGTAAGAAATAAAAAGCACAAAAGAACCACAATTTGAATCTTATCTCCTAATAAACCCAAATAGACTGTGAAGAAAAAAATACTGGCACAAAAGATCACAGTATGTACATTGTTTTATCTTGAGTTTTTTAATGTTTGCAATACTAACGTTTTGACAAAGGCTACAGTCATCTACCTGAACTAACATCCTTCAAATGATTGGCTCTGAGAACAAGGCCTTGAGCTTGAAGTAATGCACTTTTAATCTTCCATTCTGTGGCATTAGTTTTCAGGATACAGATTTCCTTCTGCCACTGTTCATCTCCCCAAGTGGGTCTCAGCTCCAGGATATTAAGTGCTTTTGAGAGTCTCCTCAGCTGGACAGCAGTGTCTACAACTTCTTTATCCTAAAAACATTAAACAACAATTGAAAGAATGCTAAGTCCAGCTCGGCACATCTTGTTTTGCTTTTTAGTGTCTTCAGTAAAATGCCTGCGACAATTCACATTAGATTTTTGTGTGTTGAAGCAAACCTGCGTGAGAGGGATAATACACACATCTGTAATGTTATATGCCTATGAGAGGTGGCCAAGCTCTCTGGTAACTGTGCCAAGAGTCAAGTCCAAAGTAGGTGAATGACCCACACTATTGTGCACCTTGGTAGGGGAATGACCCACACTATTGTGCAACTCCTTGCAGAGGAGGTGGTTTTGCTGCTCTTTTTTTTACAGAGCTAGCAGCCCAGGGAGCGCTCCAGTACGGGCCAAGCAGAGGTCACAGATCACTATAACAGAAAGGCCCCCTGACTTTCTAGCTCCTTTGCCAGCATACTAAAAATCCTGCTGCATGCTTTCCATGTGAAACCTATCAGTGTGTGCCTAAATTTAGACATTATCTAAATCACAAGAACTACTATGGAAGAACACTGGATGATTGATCCATCTGGCTCACTCAACATTGTTTTTAATTGTACATTATTGAGTGATTGTAAGCTGTCTACAATTCCACAGATATACAGTGAGTTATAAACATTGCATCCTATTTTCAAAAATACTGAGAATGCAAACAGATGCTCCTAGGTTTCAGGCAGGCAGGAGTCCCTTAACGTGGCAGCAAAATGCCTCAGACCTTCTGCATGCAAAGCATGTGCTCTTCTACTAAGCCAAAGCCCTTCATGCTCAGGAAGATGGGTTTATCTTTTAAAAAGGAAGAAGAGTATTTGTATCAGTATACAGATATATTATCTGAAACCATAATTATTTAACATGTTCAAGCAAGTATTTTTGTGCTCTGTCATACAAATAAATATAAATATATAAATACAAAATTAGAATTCTGGAAGAGTAATGATGCAAAACATGCTTCTAAAGTACTCTAATTTTAAAAATCTTCATAGAAGCCATATAAATTACATATAAATACATCACACCTTGAAGGGAAGTGGTCTCCCCAAAGACTTCTGCAGCTTCTTTATACTGACAAAATTACCAACAGGATTGGCCAGACAAGACTGAATTTGCTGCGACACAGATTGAATATCCTTGGACAATCTTAAAAGGAGAGAAAGAATACGAGCATGTTTGTATAGAAATTCAGGAGAGAAAGATTGATCATTAAGCTATAAGCCCATGCTATAGAATTCCCCTTACTCCACCACAAACTAGTTTCTATAGTCTGGTACTTAGCAGCATGCATATAATCAGCTGCAGGAATATGCCATGCTGTTGGCAGGAAGCATTTCAAAAGGCACCTTTCTGTGGAGACTGCACAAATTATAGTGTGGGGTATATAATCATAGTTATAAGCAAAATGGGAAATTTCCACTTGCAAGTCATTATATGGCACTCTAGCTAATATACATACTAAGACAGACTAAAGGACTTAGTGTTTCTTAGATATTTCATCTCTCACTAACTCCCTCCATCCCCCTGCCCTTTTACATGCACAGGCACATATACAGACACCTAATTCAGTAATCGGATTCATGCTGGCAATACAGGTAAAAACTAAGCAAGGAGCAGGTTCGCATGACTGCTGTGGCCTGCCATGACAAGCCACAGCACCCATGGACACCATCCTGAAAATTCAACCACAACAGCAGCTTGTCATGTCAGCCTAGAACAGGCCGTGGGTTTTGTGATGATTGTTTAGCCCACACACAATCCACCCTGGGTTCAGATGGCACAACAAGCAGTTGTGCTTTGAATATTATGGATTAAATAACAACCCCAAGCTACAGTGGACTTTCTGTTTATGCCAAGAGCCCAACATTTTTAACTATAATCTTCTTAAAGTTTGGTCTCTATGGATACTGTTAAGCACATCTGTTTAGTGTAGTGATAGGGAGGTTTCTGGGTCACTTAACAGCACTGTATAAGAACTAAAGACAACATACTTTTGTTGTTCATAGCCACTCAGTAACTGAGGTATTCTGCTGATTAAATGTTTCACAACCCAGTGCCAGTGCAGAGACAAGAGCGTCAAGCCAGAAGAATCCACAGCTACCAGGTCAGAAGTTGTCCAAAACCTGTCACGCCACAACAAGCAATGCAGTATCTAGAGGCAAGCCAGGGATGATTAGTTTTTCCAATCTGTAGCGAGTACTGCAATACATTTCAGAATAAGACCAAATACTGGAGAAGTAGATGATCTCCTAAATCCAAAAGGTGCTTTCCAAGAGCAGGAAGTCACTCCTGTTCATGCAAGTTGCCCCACCCATTCCTACTTGCAGTCAAATCCCATGCTGTCTTGGAGGGTCCACAAGCCTCCTAGAACAGATTTTGAAGGGCACAGCAGCCAAGAGTGAAAAAAAAAGGATTAAGAAAAAACTGCTGTGCTAGTGAAGCTCGCCCTGTGCTTCGACTCCAAGCTTCTGTTACAAATTAGTACAGATGCTCCCACCCACATCTAACTATGTACCTATAAATTAAAACATCTTCCAATTATTCATTCCTCAGCCAACTACCAGCTTGGAACACAGAACACAGCAGATCTACCTAAAATATTCTAAAGAAACTTCTTCAAATTCTACTGAAACTTTAACAACTGAGTTTTTGAAAGTGAACAATGTGTATTATTAGAAAGTGTCTCTGAAATACTTTGTTGTACAATGTAGCAGAAAAAAAAGCCTCTTGATGAGGAGGTAAATTGCTTATTCTGCCAGGATGACCACCGGCCATGTTAGTATGAAATAATGGATCTGCACTCCAACACATCAGGACAGCATTGGCCTGGGAATGCAGATCTAGGAAGAACAGATGGATTTCATGTCCTCTTTTCAAGTTTGCAGTTCCCTTTTGCTAGAGAACAAAGAACCTAGCAATGTCAAATTTATGTGTCTGTATTAAGCAGCAGTGGAGAGGAAAATGAACAGAAACTCACAAATGAACTAGACAGTTCCTAAAGTACAAAAATTGGAACAAATATAGAGTTTGTGTGGCTTGCTTACTTCGTACAGTTTTTCATCAGATACAGCCTCCTGAGTAGACTTCACCCAGTGCAACACAAAGGCATCCCAAAGTTCAAAGAAGGCAGCAAGGTTGGCCACAATAGCATGAGGAATTGAGTTGTGGTTGCCAGGATCTTCATTTCAAGATCAAACCAAAAGAAAAATAGATTACTACATCTAATACAAGCTACACTAATAAAAGTAAACACACTGCTCAATTCTCTCCCTCTCTCTCCCTCCCTCCCTCTCTCTCTCTCTCTCTCTATCTCTCTCTCTCTCTCTCACACACACACACACACACAATTAAACATTAGTCAAAACCCCAAACCTCTCAATTCTCCCCTCTGAACTCCTTGCACAGAATTACAATGCTATTTCCCTGCAGGTAAAAGGGAACTGTCAAGTGTAAAGACATTAACTATGGAATTGTTTTTTATTTTGTAAAACAAAGCAGAAATTCAATAAATACCTTTATGGAACTCTAGAGATACCCTCAAAGCACTTGTTTTTGGCTTTTTTGTGTTAATCGTGCTCCTTTCAACATAGCTATTTTTCTCCCGATCAAGAAACAATATTGCCCTGCAAATATGAAATAACATGGATGTAATTAAATGATCATGCAATGATGAAAGTGTTGGACTGGAATTCTGGGAACCTGAATTCTAGTGCCCACTCAGCCATGATGCTTATGCAGTGACTTTGGACTAGTCACTCCCAGCCTAATCTACCTTCTAGAGGTAGACAAAAAAATGGAGGAAGACGATCATGCAAACCATCTTGGAATCCTTGCAAGAAAAAGGTTGGATATGAATACAATAAAAGCATGAGTTCTCTTATGAAATTGTGTGGTTGCATCCGGAGATCACATGGATCTCACCTACCAAAAAATACTTTTATGCTCCTCTGCTTCCTACTGTAGCCTTCTGTGTTGTTGCCATTCCCACAAAGAGCTGACTTTAAGGGTTCTCCAAAACATTTTGGTTATGATGAGCTGTCCACCACCAGGACAGACAAACTGGAAGTATTTGGATGTTCATTCCTGTGTGAGTGCATGTGTCTTTCTGCTCATGCAAGACACCTCAAGATCTAATCCATATTTCTTTAATTTTAATTAAATTGTAGTTCTCAGTACACAGAAATACAATAAACTTTTACTGGACTGTGCTGTCATCTTTCCTTCTTTAAGAAACCAGAACCAGAAAGCCTGTAAGCCACCTAGAAAATGTCAGTTTTGGGACAGTGCAGAAATGTAATAAACATATGAAAAAAGCAGAGATTTATAGTGTGAGATTTATTTTTTAAAAAACAATTAGGGATAATTACAGACATTGTCAGTCATGTTAAAAGCAACAAACTTTAATTTGCAATGTTGAAAAGCTTCTAAATTATGGTAATAAGTAACCTTTAAAACCAAAATAATAGGAAGCATTCAGCTACACCCACCGATTTGAAAGTGATTTCAGAAGGATAAGCAGTTGATCTGAGTGTTCCACTTCTGCATCAAAATCCACTGAATTGCTAATCATATCCAAGCACTGCATGTTCCATCTTGGATCCATAGGAATCACATGTTCATCTAACAAGACAGTTGGACAAAATAGCACTCATTCCTGTCTTTATAATAAACTGTTCCTTCTTTAAACTCTAATTGAGTAAGAATATTCATGGGTATGATGAGTAAATGAGATACAGTGGTGCCTCGGTTCACGAACTTAATTTGTTCCACGCTTTTGGTCCCAAACTGAATTGGTTCTGTACCGAGTCAAATTTTCCCATAAGGTTCAATGTAAATAAGGTTACTCCGTTCTGAACCATATGTAATTATTTTAACCAGAAAAATATGAAACAAAGTACAGTACAGTAGAGTATGAAGAGAGAGAACGCTAACCTTGCTTGAGGCGACTTCTGGAGTGGAGAAGAAGAAGGTGGGTGGGGAGGAGGTTATTGTTTGGAGGGAGAGTCTGAGACCGCGATCTCAACTAGAGGAAGCCGCGACCACGTGTCAGAGCGGGGAATATGGCTGCATTTGTGTTCATGCGGGGAAGATGGCTGCAATTGTGATTGTGTGGGAACATGATTGTCACCTGGTGCGGAGTTCGCGAACGGAAGCAAAATTTTACTGAACTTTCTGTTTGCGAATTGAATTGTTCGTGAACAGAAGCATTCATGAACCAAGGTACCACTGTATGATATATATTTAGACATTCTTGAATGAGATATAGAGAAAGGCTTCATACACACACAGAAGGCATACAAAAGGAAGATGTAATTATGCAACTCCTTTCTATGCCTTATTTTAAAAGGAACAGCACAACCAAAGCATGCTGCACAATCCACCCAATTTTAACTGCTGCCACAAGTTACTTAGCATGGATTTTAGCTTCGATAAGAAACTGCCAATGATGATAATCCTCAGGCCATATTGGAAAAATGTTGCTAGTGACCAACTCTGTCAGCAGGATAAGAATCCAGCAGGCTCCCTGGCACATAAGATGTAGGGGTACTGGTCCTACAATTGTGTTCACCTTAATATTATTTTAGAAACATCATTACGTTTATCAGTGTACATGTATCACGAAATTATATTCCCACAACGTGGCTAATGGGAGAGGCTTCCTCAGGTCTTCTGGTTAGTTAAAAGGCAACACAGGAAAAATCAATGATCACCCTATTACCACCCCATTATGCACTGATGGATGAAGATCTGACTATACTCTTGGTGTTTGAACACCTTTATTAACAAAGACTTTATTATTTTATTAACAAATTAACAAAGTGTTAAGGACACATTCATGAAGATCTAGTCAGCCTATAAGATGACCTTTGCTTAAGACTTGGGTGAAGAGAACTGATTGTTTTTCTAATCTTGCAGTAGATTTGCCTGAGATTATGCTTAACCTCATGGCACAATGATCTGATCTTATTTGCATTATTTTCTTTATTTGTACCTTCACCCAGAATGCTTTCCTTCCTTTTCCCTGCTTATCTTTCATGTTCATTATTGCTATATTTAATTTAGCAAAATTGTTATAGAACGTTTGCATACGCAACTCCTGCTCCGGGGCTGCCATGTCAAGCAAACCCAGACAACAACCACTGTAATCCTACAAGAAATGGAGAGCTGTAATAGGACTGTTAAACCCTAAACTGATCCTTGGTGGACAGATATGCTGTCTCAATACTAAAAGTCTCTGGACGATTCGCAAAAAAACAATGCACAATACAGCAACTGCTGAGCATATTCAAAAAGATCCTCAACAATACTGATTACCACTGGGAGTTAACAACTCCCAATAAGCTGAGTGTGTCTTCTGGACAAAGCCAAAAAGAATACTCAAGGAAGCATGTACACACAATTGAGGATAAGGGAAGACATCTTACCTGTCATATTGGGCTGCAGCATCTTTATTACATTACTTATTCCACCTGAGAGGGGGCTGAAGTAGAAATTATTCAGAGATGCAGCACCAGCTTCCAGCTGAGTATACACTGATTCTGTAAAAAGAAGTAAAACTGTACATATGAATTGCAGCCTCGGACATTTTTCTGTGCTTGTACAAGGTTAGAAGACGGTATTTCCTTCTAACGGCATCCCTCTCTCATCATCAGCAATTATTCTGGAGGGCCTCCAATCTGCAGTGGACTTTCATGTGGGCGTTGCTGTGAGGAAGGGGTCTCGGAGGCGCCCTGCGGAGTCAAAGCCGCGGCAACGGCCAGCAGGGAACGGCCCCCCAGGCAGGACACACCGACCCCGCGCTGCAAGAAACGCTTCCGCCCACCTCCCGCAGCACGCCGCTCCCGGGCAAACGAATGCAGGCAGACGCACGCGGCTGCGACCTCGACGGCAGCCAGCTCCACCAGCCAGCGCGGGCGCACACGGAGCCGGAGAGCGCCGCCCGCCGGCCCAGGTGATCGGGCGCGCGTGGTGCGCGACGGGGCGGGTCTCGGAGGCGCCCTGCAGAGTCAAAGCCGCGGCAACGGCCGGGGCCGGTGGCCTCGGGCCGGCGACCAAAGGGGTCGCCGCCGTTTGGGGTGCCGTTCGGGGGGACGAGAGGGGGGCTGGGCTGGCCATGGACTCTTGTTGAAATAGGCTTGCCTACTGCTGATTCTCAGGGAAGAGGAAGGATCCCCTTTTTCTTTTTTCTTTTTCTTTTTATCGTTCTTTTTCTCCTCCTTCGACTTACTTTATAATCTTACCCTGCTTTAATCAGTGCTTTGCGTCATTCCTGGCCATGTCGACGTTTATATATCCTGGGGAACCCACGGGGGCTGCTATTGGCGTGGTCACAGGCAATGGTCGTTACAACAATAGGGGCTTAACGTGTCCACGTAGAAGAAGGATGGACAGATGGCTGACACCTGTCCCTCCTTCTGATCCTGCCCCCAACCAGAGGGCGCCAGGTAGCCTTGTCAACCACCCCTCGGGTCTGACGGTGCTGCTGCTCAATGCCAGGTCGATCAATAATAAATCTTCCCTCATCCATGACTTGATTGTGGATGAGGGGGCCGACCTGGCTTGCGTAACGGAGACCTGGGCGGGAGAGGGAGGGGATGTTGCCCTCTCCCAATTGTGCCCGCCCGGGTATCTGGTTCAACACTGTTCACGCCCAGAAGGGAGGGGAGGGGGAGTTGCGTTGGTTTACAGAGCCTCCATCTCTCTCACGGGTCTTCCGGTCCCTTTGAGACCAGGGCTGGAGTGCCTCTACTTGGTGTTGGGCGAACGAGACAGACTGGGGATTCTATGGGTGTACCGTGCACCTTTCTGCCCAGCAGTCTCCCTATCTGAGCTGACAGAGACCGTCTCGGACCTGGTGTTGAGGACCCCCAGGATGTTGGTCCTGGGGGACTTCAATCTCCATGCCGAGTCTGGACTGACCGGGGCGGCTCAGGACTTCATGGCCTCTATTACGGCCATGGGCCTGTCTCAACACGTCATTGGCCCGACCCATGAACGTGGACACACTCTGGACCTGGTATTCACGACAGGGCAGGTAGAGGATGACCTGAGGGTGAAGAACTTATGTTTGACTCCCCTATCATGGTCAGATCACCTCCTGGTGAGGTTTGTGCTTGAGAGCGGCCTCTCCCTCTATAAGAGTGCGGACCCGATTGTATGGGCCCGCCCCCAGAGCGGGATGGATCCGGATGGATTCCTGAAGGCCCTGGGGGAGTTTCCAGCTGACAAGACTGGTGCTCCTGTCGAGGCTCTGGTCGAACTGTGGAACGGAGAGATGACCAGGGCTGTGGACACGATCGCTCCTAAGCGTCCTCTCCCACCGGGCAGAGTCCACTCTTCCCCTTGGTATACACCTGAATTACGGGCGATGAAGCGAGTTGGGAGACAGCTAGAGCGTAGGTGGAGGAAATCACGGGATGAATCTGACCGAACACACTTGAGAGCCCACTATCGGGCCTATGCTGTGGCGGTGAAGGCGGCGAAAAAGAAGTTTTTTTCCGCTTCCATTGCCTCCTCACAATGCCGTCCAGCGGAGCTTTTTCGAGTGGTGCAAGGCCTGGTTCGCCTGGGTCCTAAGGAAGATCCAATGCCACCCTCAAAGGCCCGCTGTGACAACTTTGCCAGGCATTTCAGGGAGAAAATCGCTCAGATTCGTCACGAGCTGGACTCCACTAATGAATCAGAGGTCTCTGAGGAGTCGCCAATGCCACCGTCTGGTCCAAAATTATTGGAGGAATTTCAATTATTGCGGCCCAATGATGTGGACAAGGTGCTTGGAAGAGTACGTCCCACCACTTGCCTATTGGATCCTTGCCCATCTTGGTTAATAAATAACTCCAAGCACGGGATTGGGACCTGGATTTTGGAAGTGGTTAACGCTTCTCTGAGGGAGGGTCGAGTGCCTGCCCCTTTAAAGGAGGTGGTAATACGACCGGTCCTGAAGAAAGCGTCACTGGATCCAGAGATGGCCACTAACTATAGACCTGTGGCCAACATCCCATTTCTGGGCAAGGTGTTGGAGCGAGTGGTGGCGGGACAACTCCAAGCACTCTTGGAGGAAACTGATTATCTGGATCCTTTTCAGTCCGGCTTCAGACCCGGGTACAGTACTGAATCTGCCTTGGTCGCCCTGTACGACGACCTGTGCAGAAGGAAGGACAGGGGGAGTACACCCTGTTGGTTCTTCTGGACCTCTCGGCGGCTTTCGATACCATCGACCATGGTATCCTTCTGGATAGACTTGCGGGATTGGGGGTTGGAGGCACTGCTTTGCAGTGGTTCCGCTCCTATCTCGACGGTCGATTCCAGAAGGTAGTGCTGGGGGACCATGTCTCTGTGTCATGGCAGCTATGCCATGGGGTACCACAGGGCTCCATTCTATCCCCTCTGCTATTTAACATCTATATGAAACCGCTGGGAGAGGTCATCAGGAGGTGTGGGCTGCGGAATCATCAATACGCTGATGATACCCAGCTTTACCTCTCATTCTCCACTAATCCAGGTGAGGCAGTGGCTGTGCTGAACTGGTGCTTGGCCGAGGTAAGGGAATGGATGAGGGCCAATAAACTGAAACTCAACCCAGACAAGACGGAGGTCCTGTTGGTTGGCGGATCGGGTTTCGGAGGGGGTGGATTTGACCTGGTCCTGAATGGTGCAACACTCCCTCTTAGGGATAAGGTCCACAGCTTAGGAGTACTCCTCGACCCGGAGCTTTCTTTGGAAGCTCAGGTGACAGCGGTGGCAAGGAGCGCCTTCCTTCAGCTTCGGCTGATTAATCAGCTGCGCCCCTACCTGGAGTACGACTGCCTGGCGACGGTGACACACGCGCTGGTGACTTCCCGCCTAGACTTCTGTAACGCGCTTTACGTGGGGCTTCCCCTGAAGACAGTCCGAACACTTCAATTGGTGCAAAATAGAGCTGCCAGGTTGCTGACGGGGACGGGGCGTTATGCTCACATGACTCCAGTCCTCCGTCAGTTTCACTGGCTTCCCATTGAAGCCCGGGCCCAATTCAAGGTGTTGATTATGACCTACAAAGCCCTAAACGGCTTGGGTCCTGGCTACCTGAACGAGCGCTTACGTCCGTATATGCCCGACCGCCCTTTGAGATCTGCGGGAGAGTCCCTTCTCCGGGAACCCTCCATGAAAGAAATTAGGAGAGTAAGTACCCGGAGGAGGGCTTTCTCTGCGGTGGCGCCCAACCTATGGAATTCACTCCCCAAAGAGGTCTGCCTGGCACCGTCGTTACTGGTTTTTCGGTGCCAGGTAAAGACCTTTTTATTTAAACATCATTTCAATTGTTAAAACATATGAGCTGGCCTGGGCAACTTCTTCTTCCTTCTCTTTCTCATCCTATATTTTTATTTTATACTGATAATTTTAATTTTGTATTTGTAAATCAATGTATTTTTTGTATTTTTATATTTAATGGTAATTTATTATGTACTATTGTATTTCAATGTATTTTATCATGTTGTAAGCCGCCCCGAGGTTTCGGCAAGGGGCGGCATAGAAATGTTATAATAATAATAATAATAATAATAATAATAATAATAATAATAACCTCTTCTACAGAGGATGCAGTTAACCAAACTGAAACTCAACTGGTGTCAGTGTAGGAAAACGGACCTTTTCTCTTTTTGACTGTTGTTCCCTTTCTTTCTCATATTAGACTAGTTATTTACTCAACTTGCAAAAGAAATCCAAAATCCGTATTACTTTAACACCTTTATTCCGCCTACTCAGAGGTCATAAAATAATGTACAACAATCAAGCAAGGTGTTACGAAAATGCTTGAGTCATGAGACAGCATCCTTTGCTGCCAGCACAGCAGCAGGATCCACTGCTAGCATGATGGGGAGTTAGAATGGGGCAGATCACCAAAGACCACAGGAGAGCGTTCAGCTAGCCTGCACCGATCCAGCAAACTCCCTGATGCACTAGCAGTTAACCCCACAGGTACAATGGATGGGAGTGTAGCAGCAGCACAGAACTTTCTGTTTAACGTCTACAAAGGTGGAAATTATCTTCTGTTTTTATCTACTCCAACAGTTTACATTTATATTTCACCTGAAAAACTCTAGTTAAAATAAAAGCAATTGTTAAGGCCAACATTCTATAATACTCAGTAGGGGATAACCCCTACTGAACATAATGGGACTTAACGTCCAAGTAAGCCATGTAGGATAGAGCTGCATAACGATATGTGTTTCTCTTCCTCCAAAGATTAAGATCCGTCTTAATGAAGAAGGTAAGAATTCATACTCACCAGGCACCTGGGATAAGCTCTTTTTTAACTGATTTAGCCACCCAACTCTCAAAGTCCAGTCCTGATTGGTTGCCTTTTCTATGAATAACTTAATCGCTGCAGAAAGGACCTCCATCTCATCTGTCCAAGAAGCACTCGTCTCAACTGCACCAAATTTAAGACAATCTGGATTTGCAGACTGTATAATTTTCTCAAAGTCATGTATAGTAAGGGGAAGGGTCCTGAAACAAAAATTAAGGAAAAAGGATGTTCCTATGAAAGCCTACACAAAAACAAAGGCTCTAAACAGTTGCGAGAGACACAACCCCTAAATATGTTGACCCTAACAATGGTTTGCTGCCTTAATTCTGGGTAAAACTCCAGATGCACTCTGAAACCATTGTTTAACTTTGCTAAGTAAGCCTTAATAGCAAAGAGAATATATAGGCTGCTTGCTACCTCAAGAGACTGCAGTCAGAAAAACTATCTTAACAATTGCTTGCGCAGTATCAACACTTAAACATGGAAATCGGCACTTGGATGACACTTCTAAGCATAGTTTCATATGCCACTTTATAGTTGTTCCTTCTCCATGATTTAAGCATTCAGACATAATATTTCATCCTGAAGAAACTCTGATGACACATTATGGGCAATATTTTGCAATGTTCATGCATAGCTAGCAACCTGAATGGGTACTTACTTTGAATAACTGATTAAGAGAGAAGTTTGAGCACCAACCATATAGTCAGGTCTTCATCCACTGACATAGTGGGGGTGGGCATTGATCTTTCCAATGCTGAATCCTGCATCTTTCAGCAGAAACACTTATTTCCAGAACAAAGGTGCGCTGAAATGTCTTGATCTAGACATTAGTGTTTATGGGCTTCCTTTATGAAGTGCTAACTCTCTATTGCACCAGTAACCTTGGCCAAAGACTTCATTTCAAACCCTTCAGTTTTATGGGAAATATTGTTTCATAAAAAAAAATAGTCCCATTTTTAAAAAGTGTTTGTTTTTCCCATTTGTGCACTTAAGTAAAACAGTGAAAGTTAAGTTGTGCAGGTTAAGAACTACCTTCAAAATGATGAAAAGATTGTTTCTTAAATGGAGGGACTGCTGAGTAAATTACATACAGGGGCAGGCAAAAGTAACTTGAGCTGGAATAGTTAACTTGTCAAAACTGGAACAGCAGTATCTGTTGCTCACCTGTTGTTTTTTAGATTCAGTCTGTTCAAGCAATACGCCAGGACCTGCCCATCATTATAAACCGTACAAAGGAGAGAATCTTCAGCTGCAAACAAAGCACTGGATGCCAAATCTGGCCACAGGCCCAAGGCAAGGAGAGAAACATCTTTTGTTTCATCTGAATCCAAAGCTGAAACATGCTTCATTATCACATCCAGCACCAACTAATATGCAACGAGACACACACACAAAATGTGATTAAACTACTTCTGCTGAGGAAAGATATTCTTCTACTGAAAAGCATAAAAAACAAATACATTTTTACTATGACCTAGGAAATGCATGTATGTGCTACTTTACCATCCCTTACTGAACCTGTGAATCATCTCCATTCATAAGTGCTGCATTTAATGACAGGGTTCACACAGCACAGGGCATCGCGGTGGGTTCTGAGCCCGGTCACTGCGACTACAGCTTACCATGATGTGAGAGCTGGTGCAGGCAACTGGGCATGACTAGTTAACCACACACAAGCCACCCTGAGAACCCCTAGCTTCTGGCAGAGATGTGGAGGCTGGCTTGTTCTCAAAATGGCTTGTTGCGGCATCCAATCCTGGCACTGCAGCTTATGCCAAGTGGTTATAGAACTGCCTGGCAAGAGTGGAAAAATGCTGATGTTGCTCCTCGTGATCTCACCAGTGCCACCTCAAGCCTCCCATCCTAACGGTGTCTGCCCCTCCCTGCTCCAATGGCTATACCTCAGAGAAATGCTTAATTTACTTCATTCAAGAGCATTTAAGTGCTTCAGAAGTATGCAAATAAGACTGTAGTTTATTTTAAAACCCCTCTTTTGTTTTTTACAAGTGTACTATGCCTAGTGTCACTTCATAAGTCACAGCTATCAAGGGAAACAGGGAGGAAATAGACCAACCAAGACTGTAGATATGCTATTTCATGCTCACTTGTGAAAGATCAATGAAAAAAAATATATCCTATATGAATCCATTTGTGCAATTCAGATGCACTAAAAAGATTTTAAAGGGTTGGATAAATGCTCTGACAAAGTGCACCAAAGGCCACTAACTCCCATCTGCTAATGTCACTTGACATTTTTAGGCCTTGAACTGACATTTGTCAGTGTCCTCTGTGCTTTCTATACTTCCCTGAGTTTCAGTGAAGTCAACAAATGGGAATTACTGGCTCTCTCACTGCCTCACCTAAGTTCCTTTTCGGAGCAATTACTGCTGGGTTTTGTTCTTGTTCCTTCCCTCCACTGCTACCTGCAGCTGCCATTCTCTCCAGTCCACGACGTTTAAATGTGAGCTCATTTCCTTTCTGCTTACTGCCAGTTTTGAAATGTCGGCAATTTTCCCTGGAAATTTTTTTTAACCCCTTATAAGGCAGATGAACAGAATCGAGAGAGTCAGAGAAATTTGTGCAAGTTCTCTAAACTGCACTAAATTCAGCACTAATTTCTTCTAGAAGGGGTAGGGGGAGCCAAAATTTCCATGTGTTGACTTCATAGGGTGCTTCTGGAATGTGGGTCAATGTACAAATGAATATAAGACGAATATAGGTATTTCAAAATAAATTAACAAATGTTTTGTCTCCTCTGTCCAAACCAGAATGAATGTGTCTGAGTGAGGTTTACCTTTTGGTTGTCTTGTGAATGCTGCGTACAAGCATAGACCTGCCAACATGCTTTATAGAAGCTCTTTATTAAACCGAGTCCTCGGTGCAACTGCTGTACAATCAGTGTTGCAGAATGAATCAAGGATGACAGCGTATATGTGGAACCTGGTAAGACAGACATTACTATCCAGTAATCATGTCTGCAGAATGCCTATGGATGCTACCTAGTTGCACATTTATTACTTGGAATAAGGAATTAATGTTGTTGTTTATGGGGTTGAATATGCACTAAGATGGGTACGCAACTTCATACAGTAAGATGCATCAAGCAAAGATGTCTGAAGAATAAAGCTGAATTTTTATTTTGCTTACTAATAATGGGTAATGCATCAACATTGCTTTGTCTGAAGAAAAGAAAATGGACTGGGTTTTTCTTTTTCCTTTGTGTAGTTAAAATAAGGTGAGGAGCAAAAGGTATTAAGTCTAGGATTTTGCTTCCAAAAGGAGCCAGATGGATACCCCTGGAGGTTCATAAGCAAGACATGGAAGGGACATGCATGGGGTTGTTGAATCCAGCACCGCTTTCTTTTTATAGATCAAATTAGATGGTTCAACATGAAGGCAGCCTAGTGATCTGAGTAAACATCAAGAGAGGTAGTGTTACTTTTGGTTTTTCCCCAGAAATCAGCCTGGACTAACTATCCCATAAAGCAAAATTGTAATTGCAGATTTCAAGTTCTTCTCTCCCCCTCTCTTAGGTCCTCTGATGCAATCCTGCTCCCAACAGGTCCCTTTAATTTTTGTCCAGTTTTTAATGCTCTTGCCTCACCTGCTATGCTTTCTTTCACTTCTGTGTGCACAGCCACAAGTGCATCACATATGCTGTTTCCTGATAATCCCAACCCATGCAACAGCAGGTTCACATCATGAGGATCCAGTGAATTCTCATTAATATTCCCAGGAACATACAGCTCGATCCCACGATTCCGCATGGCTCGGGATATTTCCCCATGTGCAGGATCCATTGAAAGAAAAAGCCTATGAAGTTTCAATATATGCAACAAGGGTACAGTTTACTTCATTCAGCATGTCAACCTTCTACTGCTGCTTCTTGCCTCTCTATGTAAAAGCAGCATTCCTAACCGACTTTGTTTTCTAAGCACAATTCTGCTTAGTTTCAGATGGACATAAAAATGTCTGATTTTTAATGGTCTGTAACATGAGGTTTAAAATTGATCCCACCCTCAGGTTTTAGCTCTTGCTAATTTGGTTTATTGCATAATTTTCAAAATGATTTTCATTTTCTGAAGGCTGGTTTGCTAAGCAACATCGAGAGAAGAATAATAAGGAAAGTTATAGAGGAAAATTCAGTGATAGAAAGGTTTTATATAGATATTTATGGGGAGTGATCAAGGTTAAGGGTTGCAAGGGGAAGGAGAGGGTAAGAAGGGATTCTGGGGAATAGAGGATCAGGCAGTAAACAAGATATATTGAAGCTGGAATTAGATAGAAAGTTAAAGGAAAGTTCAAAAAGTATGATCAAAGAATGAAGAGAAAGGGCAATGAATGCTAGAGATCCCAATGCACTGGCAAACAGCGGTTGAAAGCAAACTTGACAAAATGGCTGGAGCCCACGTTTTATATAGGGGAGGGAGGGAGGGGGCGGGCTCTGTAAAAAGTTCTAGGCTAAGTTAGAGAAATCTTCCCAAAGGCACTGCGCATGCACAGCACCCATATGTGTGATGTGCAGAGACCACGATGAAGAAAGAGAGATTTTTCCTTGGAAGGGGAGAGCTGGTTTTGGATGCCCATTCTCAGATCTTGTAGAAGTCACCACAGCTTTAATTCTCCAATTCTGGAGGAGAAAAATTAGGTGTGCTAGAGGTGAGCCAGTGACTAGCAGGGGCTGTAGATCTGCAGGTTCCATGACTTTTTAACCTTCAAACTTGTCCACAAACCAGCTCTTGACTTAGGACAACCCCAGCTCTGGCACAGATCAAATCTCTCCCACTGAATTCATTCACAGGGAATTTGTAAAAATAAAGAACAAGCAAACAACAAGAATAGGGAAGGAGAAGAAAGCAAGACTACTGTTCTTCCCTTTCTTCCATCCGGCCAGATTTCTGACAAAATCTGTGCATACTGCAGAGCTTTCCACAGCACAATATAAAATTGCTCTGTAAGCATACGACTGTGTGATCCTGACTAAATAACAGTGAGGCTACGGAGACTAGCACCAATGCCATCACACTACCTCATTGCATAAACTGTGGCCACCGCCTTTCTGATTTGTCTTTTTGCCAAGCAGAGAGGAAACATCATCAAAAACATGGGAGAGAACAAGCTGCTATGTTTTCTGACCGAATGCTTTCTCTTATTTTCAAAGCTGCAGTAGTGATACTTGAAAAGATTTCCCTCCACCACCATTCCTAGAAGAATACACAAAGCATAACTCCCATCAATGAAAGTCATTCAAAAGAGCATACAGAGAGTAAGTACCTGAAATTTGGATGAGGAGTGATAGTGGGGGTCACACCATCTATCACCCCTCTTTCACTCATGGTAAGGACCCCTCCAGGTTCAAGCAGAGCATTCAAGCGATCCAGCACAGAAGGGCTAAATTTAGAGAAAACATAAAAGTGTTAAATGGTAAATACAACTCAGTTGGCAATCCAGAGATGCAATAATTTTAAAACTTGTTTCCCTAGTACTGTGGGAATTTCTTCTCCTACCCTATTCGCATAACCCCTCAAACAACATATGTGCAGGGGCACCATAGTCACCTTTCCCTCACCGACATGCATGGTAGTTTGTGTTTGTAAACTGTGATCCAACCTGGAGTGGCTACCAAGTAGCTCTACTGTATGTACATGTTACAAGTCTGCATGTACATCTGAAAGACCGAAAATAAGGTTTCTGTTTCTTCTATAAAAGCAAAACACGAAACTATCAGGGTCTATAAAATGTGTTTTAGGGTTTAAGAAAATTAGCCATACCAACATGTTTCTTTTTTCTTTCCAGCCCCCTTTTTCTTCCCAATTCTTTCACAGAAGTAAACTCTTTTTGTGATAGGGATGCATGTTATTAATTTTGGAATAATAGCACTAATAGTGATATAACACTATACTGTTAATATTTGAGTTAGTACTGGATCTGATGCTTATTTAATCAAAGTTGCCTTGTGTGTTTTTCCTTTTTTTAATACAGCTGCGACTGCTGCTATGGTTTTACCTGCAGAAGTTAACATTGTCCATCAGAAGCCAGTCTCCAGCCTGTAAAGCCTGCACCAACATCCCATCGACCCATTCAAAAGTCCCATGGTTACTGTTATTCATATGTTGAGCAACCTGCAGTTTGAAGTGCCGAAACTCTTCCACAAGTCTTGAAAACTCTGAAATGAGGAGGGAGTGGAAAAGCTTAGACACACATATTTCGATGAACCAGTTAAGTCAATATTCAAAGTTTACAAGCATGGTTGCATAGTCAGAAGCATGGCTTCTAGATTGAGAGAGGTATTACTGTTACTCTATACTACTCTGGTGCACCTGCAACTGGAGTATTGTGTTCAGTTCTTGGCACCACATTAGAGGAAGGATATAGCTAAGTTGGAATCAGTGCAGAGTAGGGCCACAAGGATGGTGGATGGATTGCAGGGAAAGCTGTATGAGGCGAGACTGAGGGAACTGGGTCTTTTCACCCTGGAGAAGAAGAGACTCCAAGGAGATCTGTTAGTGACATATAAGTACAAGAGGGGGTGCCCCGCGGAGGTAGGTAGAGACCTGTTTTCCCCTGCGGAGGAGGGCAGGACGCATTTCAATGGAACAAAGTTCAATGGAGCAAAGTTCAACCAAAGTACAACAGAAAGTACTTCCTGACCATTAGGACCCCTAGGGAATGGAATGGTTTTCCATGAGCTGGGGAGTCAGACTAGATTTCACTTGGGTTTTGCAATTGGTGGTCACTTCAACTTGAAAAAGATGCCCATTTTATGAAAGAAGTATCATCAACTAGGATATTCTTTCAATTACTGTTCCTTCTCCAAGCAGCTCTATTCCAGCAGTGTCCTGCACCTGCAGAGTGTTGTATCCGATGGCCTGCTTGGCACTTTCCAACCCTATTTTCTCTGAATCTATTCTATGACTAGATTCATAAAAAAAACTCCACACAGTCCACTGGTTAAATAAGAGTTTTTTACCCTCCAACAAGTTATACCTCCCAAGTTTGGACAACACAGTAAACTACAGTCAGGCAGTGATTATGTAAGTTGTGGCTAGCACAGAACAGAACTTACAAAAAGGCAACATGGCATATTTTGATCATACAAACAAGGTCATGTTTTCCTTCCTTGTACCTCTAACAGTATGGAATAACTTGACTTTGTATATTGTTTGTTGATGCATTTAAAGGCAACAAATAATATTTCATCACTTCCTATTAATTCCATGCATACCTGGTTTTGAGTAGGAGCTGATCTTGGTATTCAGCCGCTGGACCAATGCTAGGACTCCTTCCAATTTACTCACTACCTCAGTGGTTATGGTTTGATTGCCTTCCCCCAGAGCCTTGGGCTTGAAATTTAGAACGAAGCTGCTCCAGGCACGCAACACAACCTCAGCGTCATCTGGACAGATAGCAGTGAGGAGGAGGCTGTCTCTTAAGAGTGTGCTCACAACATTCTCCACTTTCTCCAGCAAGCTCTTCCATGGCCTAATGATGTCAACCTATAGTATATTTTATTGTATCAATCACAGCTCGGTTCCATTGCCACATAAAAACCCCCAAATAACTGATTTATCAGAATAAATACAGCCTTTTGGACAGAACTAAATACCTGAAAATATGTATCAAAGGAAGCATTTCCCTTAGTTAAAGATCACAGGCAAAATAAAACAATTGTGATAGGTAGTGCAGCTTATATTAGACAGTCCTTCTTCCGTGTGCTTCCCATTGGCATTTGGAATGTGTAGGATCAGTGGGGGAGGTGTTGGGGGCATTTATGTGGCTGTCTGAATCCAGCGAAAGGAAATTTCCATACAGAAGGAAGCATCTCTGTGCATACAACTTACAGATTTGGTAAATGTTTGAATTGCACTGGCCTGGCAACTGCAAACTCAGTACCAAAAAGATGGTTTTTATCATCATCATCATCATCATCATCATCATCATCATTCTATATTTGTATGCTGTCCCACAGCCTAGAGGCTCTCTGAGCAGCTCACAATGTTCTATACCATTTGCCTGATCGCTTATTTGGATGATGCTGAACAGAATAAAAACACTGCTAGTCACCACAGGAACCTTCCCAGCTATCTCTTCCATGACTTGAATCTTGTCATTACAACAGACAGGTAATCAGCTACACAAAGACTGAAGTCCTGACTGCCCAGTGAGAAAGTAAGCATATCTCACTACTATTCATCTGCATCTCTAATCCAGGGAGACTAATTTCTGATGCTATTTGATCTTGTGTGCTTCTCAGTATATTCCACCTGTCTTTTTAAAGAGTTATAATCTAGCATGAGTCTATTCTTGGCCAATTCTGTGCAGGTATATGGGAACACTAGCAAAAGAAGTGCAGTTCAGTACATGCTCTAAAGACCAAAATGGAAATGAAAGTGTGGCTTTTCACAAATGGCAAGAAAAGTTTGGTTTTCACTTATCATGAAATGCCCACAATTAATTGTCACTTCCAAATGTTACACTAAACTATACACTGATATGAACAAGGTGCTGTGAGCCTTGGCATCAACCCACCTCCCTTCTCCTATTGCATGAAGTTTGGAAGTTTTCATGTTTGTTTAACTACAGTTTATCTAATTTTGCTTATCACAGGTTGCAGGATGTCCAAACCTGTGATTAATTTAAAACAGAAATTTGAAACTTCTTTCAAGCTGTATTCTTTTTTGGAGAAATTTTTGAGGGTCAAATTTCAGCAGCACACAGGGTTGAAAGGCAAAAGGGTGTGAAGAGAAAGGGGTCAAAAATATCCAGAATACAGGCACATTTTAGCTTATAAGATCTTATTGCCAGTAACAAATCCTTAGGAGAGCCATTTCAGCCTTGCAGAATTTGGTAAACAACATTAAAAAGCCAGGAAACCATCAAAAATGACAGTCAGGAGAAAGAGGGGAAGATCAAGCCATGGCAAGCCCAATTGTTTGTTGAGTGCACTGTGCATTGATCAGCTAACAACTAATCCATCATGGCTTATTCACAAGGTGACTTAGTATGAGATGTGAACCCACCCACAGACTGAATTGGCACAATCCCTTTGGAACACCCCTATGGCTTTTTCCCTTTGGTGATCTTTTCAAGATGTGTACAAGTGACAGTTCCTCCAAAGTGACGAAGTGGCATATGAGCATGGCCATCACAGATATGTCACCTTAAAAATAAAACATGTTTAAGCTCCTGATCTGTGCACAAATATTTGCTTACTTTAAAAAAATTACCTTCAGAAGTGAGCATTTCAAGTAGTTGATATGAAAAGCCTTGCAGCTCAATATTGCAATACCTGCCTGCTGTGAAAGCACAATAACTACCAGCCAAGAACACTGACCAAGCGAGACTGCAAAAAGTCTGTTCCTTTGCTTCTCACTTGACAGCTGTCAAACACTGAGCCGTCAAGCGAACATTTGCTTGAGAAAAGAGATGACAAATATATCACTTTCTTTGCAGTGAAATTTTCTAGTTTGGAACTGTGATCTTAAGTTTTCAGTGTTCTTTACTTTTCCTGATACTCTAAGCGGTTATGAAAGGGGAAAAGCAGGTCCCACCCCAGTTATACAAGCACAGAGTTTAGAAAGAGTTTTAAAAAACAGAGTTTTTCCCCAAACAGAGCTAATTTCTTTTTACTTCCAAATAACAAGGTATCCCCAAAGCAAAAGCATACACTTACTTGCTCAAACCCACCCAGCAACTCAGTTGTATCCATAGCACTGTTCATTGCCATGATCTTTAACTGATGTCCTGTTAGGTATGCCAGTAGCTGGACGAGGCTGGTCTTGCCAGCAGCTGCAGGGCCCACCAGTATTACCATCCAGTTCATATGCACACATTTCATAATGGATTCCAAGGGCTGGAGTGAATGGTGGAGAAGTGACAGATTTCTGCCAGGAGGAGGAACATAGTTGGCACGGGAAAGGATTGAGAAACCAACCTTCAGCAGAATTAAAAACAAAAATGCAAGTACATTAACCGTGTGTGTGCAGCGGTGACGGTAGTGGGAGGGAGTAAATAAAAAAGAATGCACTGAAGTTGTATTTGCTTTTACCCTCTCTCACCTGGATGTCATAAGGAGTGATGTGGAACTTCCTGCTTCCCACATATGGAGGAGCATTCTGACCAAAAGTCTCCTTGAACAAAGATACAACCTAAAGGAGGCAAAAAAGTAATCTCAGACCACATTTGAACAAAAATCTGAAATCCCCATTATTGCATTTCTACTGCAACCATCACCATGAACTATTCCAAAATGTTTGTACATGAAACTTGTCATGCCTGATGGATTGTATGGATTAAAGTGGCTTAAGTTTGTACTCATCTGCTTCAAAACAAATCAATCTGTCCAGCTGGCAATGGTAAGATCTTTTGTTTTTATTACTATTATTAATTATGTCTATGATAATTAGCACTACTACAATTATATTCCAGATTTTCTCCTCTTTCATGGAACCCAAGGCAGCTCAGCTAGTCCTCCTCTTCTCCATTTTAATGTCACAGCAACCTTTATGAGGTAGGTTAGGCAGAGAGTCAGTGACTAGCTTCATGTCACCCAGTAAGCTGTAAGGCCATGTGACAACTAGAACTCCAGTTTCAGCATCCCAGACCCATTCTAGCCAGTGCACCACATTAAAAAAACAAGCATAATTTGTGCAGAAGTTTTACAGCTTAGGATATAAAACCAGATAGTACAAACACAAGGCCAAAGGGTTTTCCATTACCCCACAGAAGAAGTTACTTTTCAACTAGTTCCTGGATGTTAATCACGACTTAAAGAGCTCTGTGCTCTGCAAAAGGCCCCAAAAGCTGATTGCTGAGGCTACAGAGAGGTGCAGCATCCATTTGTTACTATCAGACAGCTCAGGGAAGTTTCCGACCATTTTAGACTTTTTGTGTCAAGATCTAAATGGCGTTTTAGCATCCATATCCAATTCCTCGAAACAGAAAAGGAAAACAATCCAGCAGGACCTAGCATTTTCTTCACATGTCTTACCTTCTCCTTGTCCGCTTTTGTTCTCATTCTCTCCCCATATATCAAGAACATGTGTTGGCCTGGATCATAACTTCCAGGTGATTGGTCAACAAGCATCAGCTGACACCATCGGAAAAGGTCACGGAGATTGAACTCCCAGGGTCCACCTTTATGTCCCCACTTCTTCTGGATCATAATCTCTTCATCAATCTGAATAATGCACCAGTTCAAAAGTTACACATTCTAATGCCCTTTACTTCTCAAGAAAATTAAAAGGCAATCCCACTGCATAATATCCACCACTCACAAGAACCCCCGTTTACTGATTTTATTGCTCTCAGCAGCCAGCATCACTAAAACTAGGACTGCATGGATGAGGACTCTTTCCAAAATCTTTATGGAATCTTTATATTTTTAAAACCCTGTAAGTAAGTAGAAAGCTTATATGCAATGTTCTTATTAATTCTGTGACTACAATATATTGCTCCCAAGTTCCTCTGATTGGTCTTTCTATTTCAATATATTTGAGAACATGTGGAATCAGCAAAGAATCTGATTTGCTGATTATTCCTCTGTAGAACCAACAGAGGCTGTTATGAGTATCAGAGTGATTCCACCACATGCTTCCATCATGTTTCACGTTTGGAATTTAACTCTTCAACATGACACCAAATAACACATTTTTTATTTCAGGAGAAAGCTGGGAGAACATCAGTGTAAGGTTCCATTACTCTTCCCTCCATAGAAACCCAAAAAGGCACCACCGCAAAGAACAAACAGGTACATTTCTTTCTCCTTGTCCCTTCCCTCAAAATGAATAAGGCAATGTAATTTCTTAGAACTATAATAAACATATGCAGTGGCTACACTGGGCATTACTAATCCCTTTTCTAAACATTTATTGAATAAGTCCAACAAATAGATACCTATGATGATACCATGGTAGCAATCATGCCCTTCATGAAACAATTTTACAATCAAGTATCAATGTTCCAGTCAACAGTTGGACCAACTCTATTTTGCTAGATTACAAAAGCTGTAAACCATCTCACAACACACAAAAGCCTTACTTTAGCACACTTCTGGGACTTCTGCATTTAGCAGGGTGTACTTTTTAGTACAGGGAATGCAGACATCATCTGCCACCCATCCTCAGACTTCCCTGCTCCCACTGACCTTAGCTGTATTCTTCAGAGTAGCTGTGGATGAAATGTCCCAGCAACGTATGATTCCCTATTGAATTTGAAGTATTCTGAAGTAGCAATCTAGACCCAATAGTTTTGCCTGCTCTTTGTGGAGAAGAAAATCACTAGGACTGGTTTGCTGATACACATCAACAAAACTGCCCTAGTTTTTGTATTCTCCTTGAGAATCTAGTCATGGCGATTCTTATGAGGAGTGCCTGCACCTCAAAATTTACCATTACACCACTGATTTAAAGACAATCTCAGGGAGTGGCATAAGACAGATTGCTGACCCAGCTCCGACCTCAGAAAACACTGGGGACCAAGTTGGGATTCTGACCTTGGAGGGTTCCCCCTCTGTCCTTGCAATCAGCAAGACTCTTTCTGCTCTGGCTGGGCCCTGACAGAACAGCAGTTTTGGAGAGAGCATGTAGGAATGTTTCTGGGGGACAGAAAGGAGAGGAATGAAGAGCCGCTGTCTCCCCAGGAATCCCGCTGGTGCCACAGCCTCTC